GACTGTATAAATAGAGAGATACGTAGCTGCAGTGGAAGAGGGAGAAGAGCACAGGACTGAGCTGAGGGGAACACGGGATTCTCGGCAGCATGCTCTCGCGGGGGATCTATGAMTCTACCAAATTGCCTGTGGTACCAAATGTGGGGGAGGGGAGGGAGGGGTGGGGGTCCCTAGAGTCTAGAGGGGGGGCAAAGAGGAGGCAAGAATTGACGACGCATGGTCATCGTCACTGCTATTCTGCTGCAACTGCGAATCGACCCCTCAGAAGCAAAACGGTCCTTCTGACGAACCAGCATGGGAAGAGCGAGGCTTTGTCACATGATCGATGCTTTTGTGGTGTCTGCGGTGCTGTTTGGAACCAGAGGCGCTCCTCCATATCCAGAGCTCAGAGTCATGGTCCTTCGCTCCGAAGAGGAAACAATGGCGGTCTCATGGAGTGTGAGGTAGGTGCACTGCGACAAAGAGAGAAGCAGATGATCTCCTCCCCCCAGCGAGCGTGCAGGGGATCAAGTCTCACGCGTACAAACATCGCGGGTCAGCTTCGGCAGAAAGGGAATGCGTCTGACGTTGGCCTGTATCGCCCTTCGCAGGTTACGGGGGTTGATAGGCCTGGGCACTCCTTTCCTGTGGCAGATGGGAGGGCAAGGTGTTCGGCATTGGCCGTAGAACATGCACATGGAGAGGGAGTGAATGAAAGGGGAAGTATATGGGTTGGCACTTCCTCAGTGGAAGCCGGACAGTCCGATGGATGCTTGTACATGGAAGAAGATTGTGGAGATGGTGGGGACTCTGGCGGTGGTCATGGAGGTGGGGAGGGGGGGTCGTTTGACGGTAGTTCACATGGTGATGAGGGGGGAGGGGAGGAAAGGGAGGGAGAATGGGTGCAAGCGGTCATAGGTAATGCCTTTAAGTTTCTACGGGAATCCCCGCGACAGCTGCCACTCCTAATGAGCGGGAAGAGGAGCACAAAGCAAATCACGCAGCAGCCGTGGTTGCCTCTGCATGCCAAATACATGGGATCTGTTTTAGCCATTGCTGCTTCTATGTTTGGGTTGGCAGTGTTGCCTACTGCGATCGCTCTGACAGCTACACCTGTTCCCCTCACACCCAAGACTCTGCCTCATCACCATACGACGGACGACGTCATAAACACCGCCGTCCCTGCGTTTGATGAGGAGGAAGAGGGAACAGATCTTAGTGACAGGGAAAATGACAGTCCTGTTGAAGACAAGATTCAAGAAGCACTCTTGTCGGCGAACGGATTGACAGCATTGACTGGAAACACCCACAGTGGTCTGCGTGGGGTCAAAGGGTATCACTCGGCGGTCGAGGGGGAAGGAGGTGGTGATCAGGAGGGTGTCAATGCGGATAAGAACGCCGATAGCGGCGAAAGGGAGAAGACTCCAGGCGGCGTAGTGTGGGAAGTTCAGGGGAACATGTGGCGCCGACTTGTCGCCGCCAAGGATGACACATTCGTCGTCGATCGGACGCTGAAGGCGGGGACCGCTTCCGCAGAGCTTACCTGCGAAAGCATGGAGAAGTTTATGCAAGCAGAGGAGTTAGAGTCTTGCGAAGGAGGGGACAAACAGGCAGCACAGAAGGCAGCTCGACATGATGGGGACTCGTCCGGGACTCTTTCCTTGGATGATGATGGGGTGATTGCTCTCGTGAGGCATGAGTGTAGGAAGGGCATTGAATGGATGGTGGAGGGGTTGAAAGGGGTCATGCTGCCGGAGGGGTTCCCGCAGAGTGTCAGTGATGATTATGTGGCACACACTCAGTGGAGGATGGGACAGGTTGCCGCCAGCCAGGTGAACTTTGTGCTCTGCACGCAGGCGCTACTCTACGCTGTCGGACTGGGTAAAGGCGCAATTCCCACTGCAGCTGCTATCAACTGGGTGCTGAAGGACGGAGTCGGCTTCCTGAGTAAGCTGATCCTGACGAAATACGGCCGTGACTTCGATGAAAACCCCAAGTCGTGGAGGTTTTTGGCAGACTTCGGAGAGAACATTGCCTATGGGCTGGAACTGATGACACCGACGTTTCCGCATCTGTTTGTGTTCCTCGGTGCGGGTGCTGGAGCAGTTCGCGCTTCGTCGGGGCTCATACAGGCCGCCACAAGGGGGTGCTTCAATGCCAGCTTTGCGGCCCAGGTAATAAATTAACGAATGCACATCGATAATGCGGTTTTCGTTTCGAGTTTTGTAGTCCAGTATCCAATCTGATCACTACTGATCACATTGAACCTTCCCCCCCCTTCCTCTTTGCAGCTTATTGCAATGATATAAATACATTGAACCTACCACCCAGACTGCCAAACCCGAACTCAGGATCCTAAAGCTTCAAATTCTAAACTCGAAGCTGCAAACTGCACATCCTAAACCCTAAACCTTGAACATGGTCTGAAGCAGGGCTGTGCAGGCAACTGGCCGGTTGGACTGGGCCGGTTGGACCCCCAGTGGTCCAACCAGAATTCCGGTTGGGCCCAAAAGTGGGATATTTTTTATTTTTTTGAAAACATGGTTGGACGGCGCTCGCCGAGATCTCCCTGAATCCGCAAAGAAAACTTTGAACAGAGAAGTTTCGTTTGGGGGGTCGGGGGGGGGGGGGAATGGGGTATTTCAGGGGTTGGGGGTCGGGAGTTGAGGGGTTTATGGTGAGGGTGTTAGTGGTGGGCTTTCAGCAAGCACGGGCTTCAGCAGACATTGGTAACAACGTACCTGGCTTTAAACAAAGGTTAACCTTCCGCCCAAAAACTGTGAAAAGGGGGCTGGGGGTGTTGGTGGCAGGGTAGGGACGGTACTTCCCACCCAAAAACTTTGAAAAGGGGGGGGGGGAGTGATAGTGTTAGGGAGTGCTTGTCACTGCTGTCTGGTCCAAGTTGCCCTCGATACTGGTAGGGTGATGTTCCTGAGTGCTGGTCACACTGAGGTAGGATAGTAGGGATAGGGGGTGTGCTGGGAGCATTAACGTGGGGAAGGGTAGGGAAGGTGGCCTGTCCTGTCAAGGTAACCA